GACATTGTCGCTTTCTAAAAGGGCCACATTTACTATAAAGTGCTTACGAATTGCCGAGGAAAAATAAATGAAAGCTTGCAATTAATCGACGAGCATAGCTATTCAAACTCGACCATAAATGTAAAACAATCGGTATTAACCAAAAGCTACCTCGCAGCGATAAGTGAAATTCTTGACAAAGTACAAGAATTGGAAACAACAAGGAGTTCAATAACAATCGAGATAAGTCTATCTAGAACTTTTGGATTGGTTATAATAAATTTTCCTTGATGTTGATTGCGTTGTATTGTTGTGTCCCGGGGCGATTGATTTGTTTTTGAAACTAATTCATCATTTAAAGTTCGAAATTAGGTGAGAATGGATAATAATAATATAATAATAAAGTTTCAACTGAATTCGAAATCAAATATTTTAAATGAAACAAGATTTTTTGGTTATTATGAAATCTGCAAAAAAAATTACTAATTTAGTCCATTTTTTTTGTGTTGTTATTTTTTTTTTTTTTTGTTTGTTTTTTTTTTGTTTGTTATTATTATTATTTTTTATTTACTCACAACGCGTTTGTTCACAAGATTCATTTTCTTATTAAAAAAGCTCTTTCTTTCCTCTTTTTCAAAATATTCTACATGAAGACAAATCCCCTGTATCAACAACACCTGGCATCAACTTATTGTAAAGCCGAAATGACAACCAAAGGAAGACTAGTAATAAAGGCAAGTACTGAAAAGTCCCGATTAAAGCGAAGCTTGTGTCCCCATAAACATGATTCATGAACTTGTTGCTTGCGAAAGTTACCAGTTGGGTATCGGAACTTGGGATTTCTGTGTAGACCCAGCGTACGGTGGACGGCCTGCATATGTGAAGATTGATTCATTACCCAGTCATGTGCTCCCAATGGAAATAGGCTCTAGGATAATTGTATATATGGATTGAGCCTGTCTAGGTTGCTTCGGTTACATCTGGGGTTCACAATTATCCTAAAATTTTTGGATTAGTCTGGGTGGACTGGTTCTGGAATGTATATGGTTATTCTGGGTCTATGGAAGTTATTTGGGGCCTTAAATAGGAACTGGAAGCACTTCGTGGCCACAGCTTGCGAAAGTTACCAGTTGGGGTATCTGATTGGGTATCAGCCCTGGGTATCTGATTCTGAGTGGGTATTCCAGACCTGATTAGATACGTAGGCCCAACGTACGGAGGATGGCCTGCTGTGAACGTCCTTCCTAATGTCTCTCAGCTTGTTTAGTCATACTTTTGACTAACCTTCATCTAATTCTATTTAGACACGACCCAAGAGCCACCCCAAGAAGCTACGGAAAAAACACCAAGAGGCTAATACTAATTGGGAATCCAACACTTAAATTTAATATATTGGACTTGATAATTTCTTTTTTCTAATTTGTATATTAGTGTCTTTTTATTATTTTTTCAATAAAATTGAAATTTTTCATGACTTTAACCCTTGTGTATAATTTATTTAATAAAAAAAATGAAATTTATATTAGCTTGTCTGTAGCTTGCTTATATTCGTCCTTGTATATAATTTATGATAAAAATTAACTGCAGTAAATAAAAAACAGATATGAAATTAGATTTCACTATAGCATGAGAAGAATGAATAAAGCAAGTATAATAAACCTTGATTATTAATATTAAATATAAATAAAAGTCTTTCTAAATCATTATACTTGATGAACATTTTTATCAATTATTCAGGCGGAGTTGATGGAATTAAAGTGTTAAAGCATTTATACATTATATATATATATGTATGTATATATAAATCATTATACTTGATGAATGTTTTTATCAATTATTTAGGCGGAGTTGATGAAATTAAAGTGTTAAAGCATTTATACATTTTATATATATATGTATGTATGTATATATAAAAACATTGTTCAAGTAATAATCAAGAATCATTTCTAAATAAACAAAATTCTCTCTTCTTTTAATTTTAACTTGTATATATTATATATATTATTATATTACTATATCTCAATTTAGATAAAATGTTTCATTACACTAATTGGTAAAAAAAATTAATAATAGTATAAAAATAATCTTTAAAATAACTAATATTAAGATTAATAATCAGGATCTATTACGCGAATTCATATTCGTTTAAAAAAGCAAAATTTGAAGCTATGTTAATACTTTTCTATAAACAAATTGTGTAATTTAAAAATAAAGCTTGGAAATTAGAACTTAACTATTGTGCTTATTGTTATGTAAAAAAAACCAAGTCCAAAGATTGAAATTGTGAACATTTATCCAATTTCTTAATTTATTATTATTATAGAACTTATAGAACTGGTAGATCAACTTCATGTTAAGATTTTCTTCAAGTCTTATTTGTTTACCCTGGCAAAAAATATATATTTTATATATGGGTGACACGACCCCCTGTAGATCCGAAAAGTTAAAATGTCCTTCAATGAGTTATTAACACTGGACAGACAAGGATTAGCATTTAAAAATTTTAATGAAATGAATAGTATTGTTTACTCTGCTTTTCCAAATATTTCCGAGAGAGAAAATAGAAAAAGTTATTTTTTACAATTAGTCAAAGAAAACAAAGAACTATTAGAAAATGAAAAAGAATATTGTAGAGGAAGGTTTATTTATAATCTTGAATTAAAAAATGCAATTTATAGACAGGGTGAACCAAGGGAATGCAATAATTGTAAAACAACAAAATACTCTGATAAATTTTGCGAAAAGTGCATTAGTCTACATTTACAGAGCCTTTTCAGTACTTGGACATCTGGAAATGAAATAATTGACAGTTTTGTTCAAAGATGTCAACAGCTTTCATCCCTTCCAGATCAAATTATAGAATGGATACCTTATGAGCAATTTTATAATATAAAAAAATTAACAAAAGGTGGATTCGGTTCTATTTATACTGCTACATGGACAAGAGGAAAAATTGATGATTATGATGAAAATAAAAAGGAATTTATTTATTTTGGAAATCAACTTGTAGTATTAAAATCATTAAATGACTCAAATAATCCAGGAAAACCTTTTTTTGATGAGGTAATTTTGATCCTATTTAAAATAAACCGTTTATTTTTAAATTAATTAATTTATTTATATAATTAATTTCAGGCATTGAATTATTGTAAAATTAAATCATTTGCAATTGTTCCTTGTTATGGTATAACTAAATCCCCAGAAAATGGAAATTATGTAATGGTGCTTAATTGTCTGCAAGAGGGAAATTTAAGAGATTATATACGAAAAAATCATTATAATTTAACATCAAGAGAGAGAATTAATATTTTTCAGCATTTATGTGGTTCATTAAATGATATACATAAAAATGATTTTATTCATTGTGATTTACATAGTGGTAATATTCTTGTGGTAGGAGGTGATTGTTTTATCACAGATTTTGGATTGTGTGGACCAGTTGATGAAAAATTAACAAATAAAATTTATGGAATCATACCTTATATCGCACCTGAACTATTTAAAGAAAAAAAATACACAAAAGAAACTGATGTTTATAGTGTTGGAATGTTAATGTGGGAATTATTTGCAGGATATCCACCATTTGATGATAAAGCACATGATTTTAATTTGCAATTAAGAATATGTGAAGGTTTACGACCACCAATATTACCAGGAATGCCTGAAGATTATGCAAAAATGATGCAAAGGTGTTGGGATATGGACCCAGCAAAGAGACCAACTATCGGAGAGCTTTGGACATTTTCTCGTAATAAATTAAAGGAAATTTATGAAACAAAAAATTTTAATGAAACTAGTAGTGATAGTGTCAGTGGCGGCAACAACAATACTAGTGGTGTTTCACAACAAGTACACAAATCACATCCATTAGCTTATCATACAAGTAGAATATTAAATGACGAATTTGATAAATTGAATTTAAAAAGCAATGATAGTTTATTAAATGACTTTGATATTAATGAAATATAATTTTAATAAGGCAAATTAAATAGTTATTAAATTTATTAATTTAAATATGATTATTTATTAATTAATAATAATGATAATAATAAGTGGGAAGATTGATAAGGTTAAAAATTTGAAAAAGTTGGAAAGTTTGGTGAATTGTTGATTATTTAATTTATTTTTGTTTTTTATTTCTATTATTATTTTTAAAGTATGAACAAACAAGTTTGATTGTATTAATCAGATGAATATTATTATTCATGGATATTTTGTAATTATATTTTACAAAAGGTTTAACTTTTAATTATCTAATACTAGAATGCATATAGAAGAAATACATGTAAACGAAATACAATATCATGCATACGCTTCCAGGATAAAAGTCATGCAAATTAGTTAAGATTAATCATTAGTTTGATCAAGATTAAGCCTAGTTTTAAATTTAAATTTACAATATAAAAAAAATAATTGATTACGACTCTTATTTTTAATATATATAAATAATTCAATCGTCTTTTTTCTTTCCATATATTCTAAATCATAAACATATTATTTGGGTATTAGTAAATAGAATAAAGAAATACTGTAAATAATCATCTATAATTTTTTAATACTCGGCATCTTCCAAGTGACATTGCCTAATTGTTCGTTATATTCTTCTAAACTTTATCCCCATAATTGGTGAGAGATAAGATCTAATAGTTTCTATTGAATAATCATTCGGAACTTGTCTCATCTATATAATTAAATAATCATCATAAAAACATTATATTAATTTATTAATATATATATTTTACCATTTCACCAACCACCTAATGGAAAATTTTTATTTTATCAATAGCTATTAATTTCCATAGATTTATGAATCAATCTATCTATTATATACATTTGATTTGCATAATTCATGACTATAGTTTAATTAATAATTTTGTTAGAGCTTATTAAGTAAGTCACTGGTCCATGGAACATGGTATGGTTCATTTTCCTAATAATAATAATGAAGAATAAAGTTAATAATATAAATATATTTTCTTTATTACATCGCCATCCATTTTCATTATTAGATTTATTAATAATTAAATCCAACAACCAGATTTAGTTATACGTATCAGTTCATCAATTACAAAATACCATTGATCAATTGTTACTGAACTTGACATACTTTTTTGATGAACAAAATCAAAAGTGCCATTTGGAAATGGTAAACCATCAAATACGTTATGCCCAATTATAGCCAGATTTGTTGATAATTCTTTTTTAGAATTATTCAAATCAATTACTATATCAATTCCAACAAATAATGGAAATTTCTCTGCCATAAAAACTAACCAAGTTGCGAGTCTATACAATTATAAATAATTTATAATTATTAGATTGTCATAGAAGTTTGGGATTTATTAAAATTAACCAATTCATCCAATATCTATTACAGATGCACCATCATTTTTTTAATGTTTCTTTTACAGGGGAAGAAAATTTACCATTCCATAAAAGTTTCTAAAATTTTCCAATTTAGACATTGACTATAAAATAACAGAAAGTTTTATAATTAATTAACTTACAATTTGCCTTGTGATCAACAGGCGAGAATGCACAAGATTCCTCAATATTAATAAATTTTCTACCGTAAATTCTCAAGTGTCAAATCATCAACATCTTTGTTATTATAAATATCTTTTCCTCCTTATTACAATAATTTTCTAACAGTTGCGTATTTTTTTAAGGTTGAGACGTTGCCTAAATTTTACATTTTGGTAATATCCCGGATTTACATATTATATTATCGAATTAATTAAATATGCTTGCAATTGTATGAATCCTCTTGACCAGTAGGTCATACCTCAACCGTGCTCATGGAGTGCGCATATGAACATTCAATATATCACATCAAGAGGCTGTCAACAAATACATTGCCAAACCAGAACCTTCCCCCGGTACTTCTAATATTAGAGCAAGAGAAATTCAAAGAAGGTGAATTATTTCGTGAATATGTTCATGCACGTCGGCTAGGTTCTATGGAACTTATGTTTCTGTTGTTAGGAGGAACAATATGTAATTCATCAGTTCAAGTAAAGTGTATTGTGATTGACCCCATCGGTCAGATTAAAATTCATCCTCACATTGTCCAGGATAAATCTTGATGATGATGAACTGCATTGGAAAAGCCTGATTAAAAAATATTTAGCTCAACCAAATCGGGAACCATTAGACAATGTAATTTGCAAGAGCTACATTTGGGCAATATGACATAAAACTAACAGTGATCAATTCGAGTAACCAAACAATTTATAGAGTCAACCTTGGAAATTATATGTTGAAAAGAAAGACAAACATCTTGACAAGGTATGAAGTCTTCGGTTAGAACATGGTGAATTGTATTTTTATCAAATAATTTTGCTAAAAATACCAGCGAGATAGGAGCCTATGAACCTATCATGATCATTACCTTGCAAGGTTCCCTGAAGAATTTGGACATCAACATGCTTGACTAATACCAATACTGCGATCTCATCGAAACTCTCTTATATTCTCTACAATCACTGCTAACTAAGATATTATCAAAGGTCAACTTGAAAACATCAAAATTTTACCACAATTGTTCCAAACAAACAGTATGTTGAGCTCACCTTCACAATACAGCTGTGCAAACAATTTTCAATTACATGGGACCCAGAGACACACATCGTTATCCATATTTTTTCATTAGTGGATCAGCAGGCTCTGGTAAGTCATTCCTGGTAGATCTATTTGCAAAAAAATTCTCAGGATTGAATAAAAACTTCTTTTTGATGGCACCAACTGGGGTTGCCGCCACCAATGTTCAAGGACAAACCATTCAATCAAGAACTTTGAAAAGTTTACACTATTATTATGAAGCCTCCATGGTTCAAGCTTCATTGTTGACCTTCACATCAGAGATGTTTTCTGGAATTCATCAAATCTTTGCACCATTTGGAGGAATTAATGTTATTCTAATAGGTGATCTTGTTCAACTTCCCCCAATAAATGGATGTCCTCTATACCAATCTCCTATTTGGAAGATTTTCTACCCAATTTTTCTTCGTCACTCTCATTGCCAACAGGGTGAGTCCATTCTTCTATAATATCTTGCAAAAGATAGGAATTGGAAACATAACAACATCTGTTTGGCAATTTTTGCAGGAAAAGGCAGATCAAAGTTTTTTTTGTAACTGTCTGCTCTTTATGTTTGTCACAATCATTTAACTTATATAACATACAAGAATTAATTAAAAAAAATTCCCATCTTATCCCCATATCTTAAAAAAATTTTCTTCAATTTATTGTTTTAGATTAAAATGAACCAGCAAAACTCGAATCATAGAGCATGCCAAGGTTTTGCATCAATCAATACTCTCTGCAATTATAATCTTTAAAGAATTGTCACATTGTTTGGATGCTAACACCAGAATCAATAGTTTTATCTTGCTTTAGAATTAATTTCAATTGTCTCATTCAACGACATCATCTGGAGAATTTTTTTTTGGAAAAAATGACGTCAATTTATTGGTATTTACATCGATAATTTTTTAATGCCAGCATTTGTTCGCCTAAATTGTGCATACAGAATTGCCAATGTAAAAAAGTGATATTTTTGAATTAGTATTTGATTTGAATTTGTCGCCATAATTTTATCAAAAATTGAAGGTAATACTGAGTTAAAATTACCCTCTCATCATATACCAAATTTTATCATTTAATTGTAATGATGTTAGCCGGCTAAGAAATTTATCAGCTCAGCCGGCTAAAAAAAAAAATCTGGAATTTTAGTGCATAATTCAATGACATAAACATTTAGTTGAGATGGGCCCACCTGCGTTACTTAGAACGACAAAAAAACATACGTTTGCTCAAAAAACAAAATACAATACATCATATCAGGGTAAAAATCATTTATAATACAAATTCTTATTTTAATTTGAATCATCATTCAAACTATTCGTTCTATTCGAATTATTCTCCCTATTCGAATTATTAGTTCTATTCGAACCATTAAAGGCGAGATGTTATAATAAAAATAATAGATAATATTGATAATAATTATAGTAATAAAATAATAAATAGTAATAATAATAATACCGGCAAGCTTAGTACCATCTGAAAAGTTTTTTCATCAACTGGGATTTATTTAAGTTTTTAGTCGGCTAAGCCGTTTAAGCCGGCTAAGGTTTTTCTACCGGCTAACATCATTGATTAATTGTCAGATGATAATACAGATTCATCCAGATTACTTTAAATTGTTTAAGAATTGTTATCGAAAGCATTAAATCTTGAAAATTTTTTTGTCATTTAATGATTTTAAATGTTTTTTCTGGATTTAGGAGGCATTGTAAAGCTTTATTTTATATTTAAAAAAATTTCTCGTGAACATAGTAAAACAAACACGTACTAAAAAGAAATAAAATTCTACAACAAATAACTTTTTCCATCCATTGCATTAAAGCTAGAGAGGACTATATACCTAATCTATCATTTAATGAAAATTTTTAAAATATATAGTTCTTGAGTTCTATTATAAAATATAAAAGGACGTGTACCATATCTTTTTTTAAAATAAAAAGGAGCATATTGTCATTTTTTATCTTTAAAGAGTTATGGGTATTCAATAAATAAATTTGTAAAAAATTCAAATAAAAATAAAAATATCAGAGAATTACGAATGATAAATATTCAGATAAAGGAGTGTATATGTTTAACTTGTAATAGGTATAATAATACTAATTATCCATGGTATCAATCATGTGAATAACAACTAGTGGCAATGATACACATTAGGTAAATTAATTAAAAGCACACAATTTAAAATTATATTTAATCGATTCCTTATGAAGGTATAAAGGATATTGTGAAGGTGGGTTTGGAACCATATACAAAGCGCTACTTGGATAAATGGTAATAACAATATGGAAAACCATAAAAGAAACTAAGCTGATTAATATTATTATTAATATACATGCAGCCCAAATGTGTAACGATAATTATGAAAGTGTCTAATTACTTTGGGATGCTACGTTAGAATGATAGATTCAAAATTTTTCGGGAACAAATTGTCGCTAACTATTAATATTAATATTGAAATTCCATGTTATACGTAGGAAATCATATAAATATATGAAATGAAAGAAATAATAAATAACAAAAGCACTTACCGTTCTTTGTGAAAACACCAGAGGTGAATGGAATCAAACATGTTGCGATAAGTATTTTGTTTTATTATTATGAGTAACATATTATTCAAGTCACAAAGTCATTTTGATATTTGATATCGAAATTCAAAGAAATAGTTTTCCCGGCCACACATATAACATGAATTTTTTACTTACTATGACATGCACAATGTTGTCTACATTTAGCACAAATGCTACAAACTCCTTCTCCCAAACGATCTCCTTCACACCCACGTCCACACCTATATGTGTTAGGGTCCATGTAATTACAACCAAATGTAACACCTTAAATGAAATAAAAAAAAGAACAGTTTTATTAGCAACAAATATAATTACTAGCAGATATTACTAGATCAAATTTTATTGAATTTCAATATCATATTATAATGACTTTGTGACCATCGGAAACTTACTCATTTTTTATGAGATAATTTCAAGATGAAAGGAAATTTGCATCTTTAAATAAACGTTCTTTTTTTTTCATGAACAATATAAATTTTCTTATAATTCTGAGAGACAATAATAAATAATTTTTGTATTGTTGTCCATCTCTTTTAAAACGCATTTCATTTATCGAAACATAGATTGTATTTACATGCATGTCTTGAGTTGAACAAAATAATACATTGTTAAACCAAATATGATTATGTACATGCAGCTTGATAAAAAACACATGTTTCTGCTTCTTTCGTTACTTGCATTATCTATTCTTTGAAATTCAGAGAGAAAAATGATGTAAGAGATGAATAAGAATTGTTTAAGCGAATTAATTGCCTGAAATATTCACTAAATTCGTTTTTAAAATCAAAAGTACTCTTAGCTTCTTTCGCACACATTTCAGCCGTCACTATATTTTATACTTTCTGTTTTACACAAGAGGGTAGAAACGCGTGACGCAGTTTCGGAAGTGATCTCAAAGATTAAATATTGTGGAAATCCATTCATCTTAAATTTTGTATGTTAACAACATTTTATATGTCAAAAGCATTTTTACATGTTGGTAGCATTCTCAATTAACTGAATCAGATGTAACTGAAGGTAAATTTCTAGTTAATAAACAAATAACAAGCTTCGAATTGAGAATAGTGTTGGTTTCCAAAACTAGAGAGTTTCGCAACTTCCCCAAAATAGTTTTGGTGACTAACACTAATTGTTTAAAATGTAGTTGTAGTAGCCAGAATCCTGAACCGTTTTTTAAATGTAGAAATTTAAAATGGCCAAAATTCCTACGTGCTTTAATTGTAAATCTTTAGCTCAATAGGTGAAATAGAGCCACATTTAAAAAAGTGAGATAACAATTAAATTGGTTTACTACCTATCAAAAACTTGGATCATTGTAATTTAGTAAATTATAATATATTTGCTTTAGTATTATTATTATAGTTTATTGAAAGATAATATAACTGTTATAATGAGCATAAAAATTGTAAAAGAAATTTTAAAACATCAAACAACTTGTTCATATTTTTTGTATATAGAAAAAATCTTAGTATTAGTAATATTCATGCGATTTGATTTGCGCTCAAGTTTTTTGACAAATATTTTTAAAAAAATCTATTACTATATAATTAACCGGTTAAGGTTTTTTTGGCCGTTCCAAGCCACTATTATTATCTGGTAAATTTTCTCCCAACCATCAAGGTTTATGAATCATATATATCAATAAGGGTCATGCAAACAATGAATGAATTCTGCCTTTTCAAATGCTTGGGCCCAATAGCAGTAACTGCCTACATGCAGCTAAAGTTATACCTTGTTAATGATTGTATAGTATTTATACAAAGATGTAATACTAAATATTGTAACTCGTTATTTTTGTTTTATTAAATATATCTTATGTTCGATAAAAAATGTTTTTTGGTTTGTCCCAAATATATTTATTGACGGAAAGTTTTGTTTTTATTTTTTTAAAGGTTGGTTCAAAATAATTGTTAGTAGTGAATGTTATTTTAAATGTAAAGCGTTTTATTTTTTATTGTTAAGAGGGTCATACAAATGTAAGTAAAAAAAAAATTTTAGTACTATTATACATAGAAACGTATAAGAGAACTTCATAATGATTCTTTATTAAAACGTGGGAAAAACCTGATGACCCATTTGATAAAAATATCTCATAATACTAAATTTGATGTAAAGTTAATTAGTTAGAAGGATGAAGTCAAGAATCGGGTTATTTGTAAAAATAATGATTTGGATGTAATTTGATTTGAGCAAGAAGTCAGATAATAATAAATATGAATTTTCAAATTCATTTAATAATAATAACAACAAAAATCAAGAATTAAAGTTATTTAATTCAATAAAGCAGTGATAACAACAACAACAACAACAACACTATTTGTCCAAATATTATTGGCATCTTTAAATGTAATTTATATGGAGGAATTTAAGTGTTGCTGACTGAATATTACAGAAAAATTTTAATTTCAGGAATAATAGTGGCTGCAATAATTAGACGACTTATTCATATGACTTATTAACACAAATAAAAGATTGAGTGTCACTATTGCTTGCTAAAACTCGTAATTTTTTTTGCAGATTTTTGAAATCGTTTCCATATTTTAATCAGATCTGCAGAGAAGAGAAGAGAAGAGAAGAGAAGAAAAGGGAAGGGAAGGGAAGGGAAGGGAAGGGAAGGGAAGGGAGCGTAGTTCATTTATATAGGTGATTTTTTATAGGTTTGTGATCTGTGAAAACCTGTTTACTCTTTTCCATTCTCACAAATTAATTTCAAAATTTGAATAAATAATTAACACGTATTAGAATGTTAGAAATTTCACATGTATCTAATTATTATTATTATTTTTTTGTGCACTGGTACACTTTTCAAAAACATCAAGAATCATAAGAAAAACCACCAAAATTACAAATTTTTTTAATAATTTTAATTGGCCGGAAATTACTTAACAACTAACTTTTAAACTAATTGTTGTGAGAATTGACAATAAAACATAATTGATTTTGGACCTTCTGAGAATTTTTTTTTTATGGCAAGAAAACATGTTTTTGCGTTGGTTTTTAATGAAAAGTTCAACAAAATTTTAAGTTCCAACCAACAAATGCACCTCAATTTGAGATCTACATTTATCCGTTGATTTTTGATTCAGGCGCATGAGATCATGACTGTGAACCATTATCCGATTAATCAACATGTTTGTAACAAAATCTTACACCATACATCTTTCTTTTTTTTATGCTAAGTGGATATGTTTATTGTCATGTCATCCATGCTGCAATGTTAACATGTGTTCCACATATGTTCCTACGCTCATCATTGATTGTTGTTGCCGTCAATCAACGTGTTCGAAATTGTTAAGAACACATACGTGTTTATTTTTACACCATATGTCTTTTCTTTTTTTTTTTCACACACGAACACGTTTATTGCCATGTCATCCATGCTGCAATGTTAACATGTGTTCATACATATGTTTATATGCCCATCATTGATTGTTGTTGCTGCAATCAACATGTTCGAAATTGTTAAGAACACATACCTGTGCAACTACATGTTTATTTTTATTATTATGCACACGTATATAAAATTTTTTTTTGAAAAAATTGTAACATATTAATAATTTTTCAAGTATGTTTTTCTGCGAATTTAGAAACGTAAATGAAAATCTCGATAGCTCCTCGTTTGTAAACTTGTATAACATCGTAATTTAAGAAAGAATCGTCTTGGGATATTAGAATTTCTAATTAATTGAATTGTATATAAAGAACTCAATTTCAAAAAAAGTAACTTTGTGATAAGTTAATTAATTAGTTTCGACTAAGGAAAACTTGCAAATAAGTTAATTACTTTTGACTAAGAAAACTAAATAAATAAAATAATAAATATTTTATTTTATTTAAAACTTTTATCTTCTTTAAACAAAATTATTCGCTAATCCAAAATCAATTCGTTGATAACCTATTCATTCTGATCCACACAAAACAAAAATAATTGCTATCACCAATTAAAAATACGCTCTTCCAAAATTTAATCGGTGACAATACTAATACTAACGGTGATCGGCAAATTTCACATTAATATACCAGAAAATAATTTGAAAGGACATGTCACACGACCAGTGTAAAAAATTGGAGGGGCGGAAGGGGCGGGAGCTAACCAAATTTGGTAATTATTTGCAAAAATATGCTGATAATTACCAAATTTGGTTAGCTCCCGCCCCTTCCGCCCCTCCAATTTTTTACACTGCACACGACTGATTATTATTATGATCAATGATACTTGATGTTGAGTCACGTATTACGAATTAAGCATTTTAAACATTTTTAATCTTTTTTTTTGTTTAATGGCGAAATAATTTTTATTTCTTGTATTATCAACTGTTTTAATAAACAATGGTTGCCGTGATATTTTTTGAAAAAAAAGCTAAGTTTGGGGGGTTATAATAGATAGAATATTCATTATAATTGCTCTTAAAATTTTCGGTGGAATTCCAATCTCCAATGTTAGCAAATCTGTCCAAATTCACTGGCGTCCAAAAAAAAAAATATAAAAAATTTTCATTAATTCAAAAAAATAAAGACAATAATGCTTTTTTGAGAATGTAAAACCGGAACTGTGTTCTCCTGAAATTTTCTAAATCAAAATATTTATTTTGGCAAACAAAGACTAAATTTGTTAACAAAAGATGTGGTGTAAATTTAATGAGTTTCGTTTATTTTTATTTGGCATGTTGGCATGTTATAAATTATAATATAACAATTAATAAAAAATGTGATTTTTTTCTTTAACTTTTTATATCTAATTAAAAATAATGAACATCTTTTTAATATTTTTAATATTGCTCAAATGCTTATTTTTGGTGGTAAATTCAGCACCAACTGACCCAAGATTTGTACATGCTACTGTTATTGTCAATAATAATTTATATGTTATGGGTGGTAATACTGATCAATCATCAAAAGAATTTTTTTCTCTTGATTTGTCACAAGCATTTGATGTAACTACTCCACCATGGAAGGATTTAACTGCAACTTCACCATTGCCAGTATTATCATCATGGGCTAAAGCTAGTCCCAACACTAATAATGATACAATATTTTTATTTGGTGGTGTTATGCTTAATGCTGTAACTGGTGAATTTAATTTAAAAAATGTGGTTTACACCCATGATTTTAAAAGCAACCAATGGTTAGTAAACCCACCTGCTTTTCAAGGAATGGCACCTGAAACACGTAGAGAATTTTCAAGTGTTAGTGATCCATTGACTGGCAAATTATATATTCATGGTGGAACAAGTGTGGGTTCTGCTACTGATGTTTATTTTAGTGATTTTTTTATTCTGGATGGAAATAATTTATCCTGGAGTCAAATTGGGAAAACTGGTTTAAATATGCCACCCCCTAGAATTGACCATGTTGCTGTATTGATTGCTAATGGAGTAATTGTTTTTATTGGTGGAAGAGATTACTCTATTACTACTAAGGATCTAACTGCAGTCCCCATGAATAATGTAATAAATAATAACTGTAATGATTATTAAAAAATGTGTAGTTATTAATGTAATATTAATTTATTATATTTATTTAAAAAAAGCTTACATTATATGATACTAAAGCTGATACTTGGGATTTAATGGTAATTATTAATTTTATATGAGAAATTTATTTTAATTGGAAAATATATTAATCAATTATTTTTGTATTGATTAGACTATAGTTGGTGGTCCAACTGTTGATCCACGTACTGGTCATACAGCAGTATATGGTAAATAATAATAATTATTATTTGTTTGTTTCTTATCATCATTTAAAAAAAAAATTTTCATTTTATATATTTATTTCTTAGCTGCTAATGGTCAAAT